CCTTCAGAGATTTGCTTATGTGGACCCCCAGGTCTCTCTGTTCATTTGCCCCCTTTAAGATTGTACCATCAGCTTGTATTGCCTCTCCTCATTCTTCCTACCAAAATGCAACACTTTGCATTACTAGCAAGTTAACAAGTTACACAAGTACAATCATCAGCAATCCCTCATTTAAAGGTACAGCAGTACAAATGTTCAATAATTTTCAATTGTAGTAAAAATGTATAGTAATGTAGCTCAGTGGTAAGAGCAGTGGTCAGTGGTTGGAGTCCTGTAGCTCATTGGTGAGAGCACTTGCCTCGCAAGCGAGAGACCTGGGTTCAATTCCTGGTAGGGCAAAACCTTGGGCAAGTTTCCTTACTGTACACTCTTGATAATAATCCCTCAAGAAAAAAAAATATTTGTCACTTCAATCCACGACTGTTTATGGGACACTGCTGTGCTCAATTGGCTGCCTTGTTTTACCCACAAATATACAATTCACTTTACAGTATATTCTGTGAAACGTTTTGAGACATCTAGAAGACGTGAAAGGCGCTATATCAAACGCAGGGATTATTATTTTTATTTATTTTTATAGTAATACAACAACATAATAGTCATTTTACAAAATGTCATCAATCTACAATGATTAAAAGTGATTGCGAGTATATGTTTCATGCTGCCAAAACTTAGCAATAATGTATATTCTCATAAGGCATCATTTTTGTGTCAAGAGAAACAGTGTACTGTAATATGATATGACTGTATTTTGTGACCTTTTTATGGCCTAACCACAATTGAGATTTGGGGCCGGTGATTAAGTCCTGTATTTCAGAGATTAAATAAATTGTCTTGAAGCATCCTCAGTTGAAAAGAAGGATCACTCCTTACTTTTTTTGAGAGTACAGTAGTAATTTTATTCCTCCCCAGATGCAGACAGCAACTTGCATTAAATCCAAAGCATTAAAGGTTTTATTTCCAATATTTTCTGATTCTCAGAATGATGAATTATATGCTCTTTTATAAAATAGTTGTATGAAATTTCACTATGTGCCCTTTTTTAAATAAACTACAAAACCCCACACATTGATAATGGACTTTATAATTGATAATAACTTTACCTGGGTAGTGTCTCGGGACCGCTTAATTGATGAAGCTTGTAAATGAGGATATTTGGCTTTAAAATACTTTGCAGCCCTATTATAACATGCTTTACTATAGTGTGAATTAGTGTATAACATGCTTGCACAATAGACCCATGAATTGCATATTCTTGCAGCTGGCCCAATCGTTTCCTGCATACTAACTTGCATTTTGGGCTGAAATGGTCGACCACTATAACAATAGGTCACTTTGAGAAACATTAGAATTAAAGAATTATGTGAGGAGTCACTCATCTGCCCCAGTAATCTTGGGCAAAAATCTTGGAAGCCCATTGAGGCCATCAATGAAGAAATGCAGTCAGTAAAAGCTGGAATCCACATGTGATGACAGTAATTGCTGACAGTCCTAATACTGGAGATCTGTGATGGTGCTGATGTCTGAACATTAAAGCTAGATGAGTCCTGCCTGCAGTGTCCTGCAGGATGCTGGTCTGCCATTTCTCAGGAATGCCAAGTACCATATGTCGAAATTAGCTGTACACCGGCGTACCTGCCTGGCTCAGTTGTTAGCACTCTTGCCTCTGAGTCAATTGGGACTTGGAACCCATGTAGTCTATGATAACACGCCAATGCAGTTGTGTGCTGCATTATCAGATGAGATGTTAAACCGAAGTTCTTTCTGTCTGTCCATGTGCACATTAAAGATCCCTTGGCACTATTCGAGAAAGACAAGGTTATTCCATTGTCTTGGCTAACACTTCCCCAAATACAATTAGTAGTCTTTCCATGGCTGTTGTAGGATATTGTTGTGTGCAACTTGGTTGCTACGTTCACCCAGAAATTACATACAGCCATTCCACTTTATATTATATCCTCTTGATCTCTTGTTGAGGGGATAAGGCAAATGCAAAGTATTATTTATTATTATTTAGGTTATAGTAAAAATGTCCTCAACCTTTACAATGATTGTGTTCTGTGGTATCATCATGACGCCAGGAAGCTAGCACTGGATATGGCTGTAGCCTCAGTTTCCACTACACATAAGATCTTACGATATGCCAAGGGTTAGAGTTTAGGTAAGAGAGCACAGGTTTAGGGTTATGAAGGGCAATCTCAGGACAGACACCAATAAGTATTTCTTTACCCAGAGTATAATTAACTGCTGGAACAGACAACCAGAAAAGTGCTTTAGTCCATGATGTTGAATTTATTTAAGAAATATTTGGCTGCTATAATGGGAAGACTGTAGAATGGGCACTATAGAAGGATCAGATTAAATGGCCTTCATCATTGGAACCTTTCTTGTGGTCTTGTCAACAACCAGTGAAAGGATTAATAAATAATAAATCCTTTTCATTGATTAATTAATTCCGTAATTCCCTCTTTATACATAAAGCATAATACAGCTATGTTTACACATGGTTTACCCATGATGCATAATAGACCCTCGCTTGTATAATGCTTCTTTTAAAAGCTTTAGAGCTGATGGACTATTGGCGTCAGTAAAAGAAGCTTCTACATTGGGGAGACTTAAAGTTGTTGCATAATGTTATTATTGTGGACAGTGATTTTTCTACTTGTGACGTTCCTTGCAGCAGTGGATCTGCAGCTAGCTCATCATTCCAGTGGAACCTAATGTTCTCTTTGTCAAAAGGAAACGTCGCCTTTCAGTTGCTCTGTTTTGGATCATGCAGCATATAATTTCTATTCAGTACCTTTGAGGAGCATATTGTGGAGTCCTGTAGCTCAGTGGTTAGAGCATTCGCTTTGCAAGTAAGAGAACAGGGTTTGATTCCCAGCAGGGTGAAACCTTGAGCAAGTTTCCTTACTCCACACGCCTGATAATAATCTCTAAAAAAAAATCAATAATAAATTGGTCATTTCAATCTACGACTGTTTGGGGGACACTGCTGTGCACAATTGGCTGCTGCATTTCACACACAAATATGCAGTCAATTCACTTTACAGTCGATTCTATGAAGCGCTTTAAGACGTCTAGAAGATGTGAAAAGCGCTATATCAAATGCAAGGATTATTATATTAGAAAGTTTTCCAGTAGAAGCCTAGAAGCACTATTAGCTTTAGCTGCACAGTGACAAGCATCTTAGTATGCAAAAGATAAAAGTTCTCAAAAGTCATTGCAGGAGCTCTTAGATTAAAAACATTGGCCATATCCTCCAGAATACTTGAGGTTCATTTGCCAGACACACCTTCACAAGGACAACGTTTAATGGAAGATGCAGAATTTCTGATCAGAGCACTCAGAGCATTGTGTTTGCTGTCAATTATTCCCTATATCTGTACCTTTCCTTTGAATGTAAGAAAATATACTCTTGGCAGTCGGCTTCACATTTTGGTATTGTTCATTTGTATGGAATTTAATGTACCTGGAGATGTAACAGAATAATCCATTGATGACTTCTGTGTTGTGGACTAGCTGATTCAATGATTGTGACTGCAGAATCCTCCACTACCAATACTGCTTCACAATATAATTCCTTTGCCTATTCCTTCACATTTCCTTGGGTTCCTGCCATTCCTTTTCCATTTGTTCCCCTGTTGGCTCTCACTAAGGGCCACCACCCTCATGGGTTAAAACCAGGGTTGGTTATCTCAAATATCACTGTAGCAAAAGTGGGGGAACAGCACTTCTAACTTAGCCCTATTTCAAATAGATGTATAGGTACAGCCTAGAAATCAGTTGGGCAGGTTTCCTATGCTGGAAACTTTTGATTTCTCATGGTTTGAGCACCTATGGATTTGCTTCAAGGCCAACTCTGAATGCCTATTTCTGGGTTTCCCTATATAGCTACTTCTTATTGCACGTTTGCATAACTCTTTAAAGTAGCTCCCGAGTTCAGAGGAAACGGGAAAAGATGGGATTTCCACAAGGTGTAAAAAATATCCCTGCAAGTTATAATTTTAACACAATGGCATCTAATTTTCAGGTTTAAGAAATTCCATTATTTCCATCAACCTAGAAAAACTGCTCTGGAAGAAATTTTCTCCGAAATAGAATTTACAGGGGGCATTGTGTGGATAACAGAAGTAGTCTTTGTTTGTGCAAATTAGATTTAATTGTAAAAAAAAGTTAAAAAACACTGTATATTAGACCCCATTTTGGTATTCTCAATATGAGAAAGTACACTGAGTATAATTCTTGCTTATGTGATTCCTTATGTGGAGTCCTGTAACTCAGTGGTTAGAGCACTCGCTTTGCAAGCGAGAGACCTGAGATCAATTCCAGGCAGAGGTCGAAACCTTGGGCAAGTTTCCTTACTCCACACAGAGCCTAATAATAATCCCTCCAAAACCAAAATCAATAATAAATTGGTCATTTTCAATCTACGACTGTTTGTGGGACATTGCTGTGCGCAATTGGCTGCCGCGTTCGCCCACAAATATACAATCAATTCACTTTACAGTGTGTTCTGTGCAGCGCTTTGGGACGTCCTCCTGACGTGAAAAGCGCTATATCAAATGCAAGGATTATTATTATTATTCTCCTTTATTTTTATTTAAATGCAAAATGTAACCACGTTTTTATCAAGCTTGCTAAACAAACATGATCGATGATGAATTCACATCCCTCATTGCACATAGCTCACATACGCTTCACCATAAGGACACTAAATAAGTAAACATTAAGGATTGTTGAAAATCAATGAGACATTCTCTTTGAAAAGTTACTGATCTTGAATTAACACTCGTGTCAAGTTACAATACAAATCATTGGAAGTTATAAATGTCAAGTTACAAATATAAACCATTGAAACACTCTGTCTTAATGAATGAGATTCAGAGTTAATCTAACATAGGTTCCAATTATGAGACCTTTACATTTATGAAAATGTAATTATGACTAGATAATGAATACATTTAGTCTGAGCTTCATATACTGTATTTTTCTTTCAGATAACCACAAGGATTGCTCTGGTGTAACGCTACAAATGACACTTGTGCCGTAAGTATTGAAACTAACTTGCATTGGTTACCTTGTGTTACCATTATTGTGTAACTTCAGTAACTTCAGACAAGGATGAACCAGATGAAATGATTGTGTGAGAATCATTTAGAACAACAACTCCTTCTTATACAATCTTTAGACAATCCAGAAGTCTGTAGTCCGTGTCCTCTTCCACACCAAACACCTCAAGCATTTAACTCCGTCTTAGCTCAGCTTCACTGACTGCCCATCCACCAGTGGATCGAATCCAAGTTCCTTGTCCTCACAATCCAATCCCTCCACGGCCTCGCCACTCGCTACCTCTTCGACCTCCTGTAACCCTTGTCCTTTGCCCGGTCTACCCCACCATCACTGGGCAAGCTTTCAGCCATTTTGCCTCCTCTCTTTGGAACTACATTCTTGTGTCCCTCTCCATTGCTTATTACCTCCCACCTTTAAAGCCTGCCTTAAACCCATCTGTTCAACTGTGCTTTTGATCACCTTTCCTCCAGGCCCACCCTCCTCAGCTTCTCTCCCCAGTAGGTTGCGGATCCCATTCAGCTGGTGAAGCGCTTTGAGACATCCTCCCAATGTTAAAGGCGCTGTATAAAATATAAATTGTTGTTGTATATTCCACATATGGACAACGATCTGGGTTATCAAGTCTCTGTCGACATCACCTCCTGGGCGTAAACCCACAGGAAGCGTTGTTGGTGGTGTCTTAATGACCTGGACATTTGGCTATTTTAAGCATAAGAGCTGACTAGCATATGGGAAGTGAGTGGCTGTGTGGCTGTGAGCATGCGCAGTCCTTTAAGTATAATTTTTAGGGCTGGAAGGGAATGTGTCAAAATATATATATTTTTTAAAAACAGGAAAAGGAATGCTTTAAGTGACTGGACTGTATGAGGTAATTTTCTCTCTTGTGCCTCTCTGGAATTTCTCTCTGTGCTGACACAAAAGCACATAGGAAATGGATGTTAATTGGGTGATGCTTGGTACTGTGCCAAATAGAACAAGAATCCTGATGCACTAAGGCAGTGCACACACTTCAAAAAGAATTCTGCCTGTTATAGCCTGGACATATTGCTCATTAGCTGCACTGTGAAAACTGAACCCAAAATTACAGCTCACTATAGATGCTCTATGCTTGACTACTCTATTTTGGTTGCTGTTATTTGGGTATCATTGAAAAAAAATCAATTCTGTTATTTCTGAACTAAAGATATTCCAAAGACTCTGGGATTTACTTAGCCTGTAGACTCATTGAATGTTTAGTTTGCCTTCAATTTTTCATTGCACCAAGAACTTTCACCAAGAACAAGTCTAATCTACTGTAGTTTCAATGATAGTGGAAAATCTAATGATTAAAATTGTGGGTTGCCATTGGATACTGAATTTACCAGTCACGATGAATCGCAAGCAGTTTAGGGTTTAGATTGTGTCCTATCTGCAGAAGCAAAATGTAAGCTGTTAAATCAAAATGTCTCCCCAACCTTATATTGGTGTCTAAAATGAACTAAGAGACATACAGACTTAAGAATGTTTTGAGAGAGGTTATAATTTACATATAATTAACACAAACTGGAAATGAGAACTCACTGATATCTTTGGGCATGGGAAGAGAGAAATAAAGCAGAGGGATATGAGTTAAATCCGATTCATCTTTTTTCCTGTTTATTTCTATTGAATACGATAGACTCATATTGATTTGAGCCCACTGTGAAGCCACAGGTTAGAATCAATACTTTAAATATCAGCTGTAGAGGCAATATGATTGGGATCCTAAAGATCTGTCAGGTTGGCTGAAAGTTTTATGATGATATTTCATTGCTGGATTTGAAGAGCAATTGTGTTGCCTCCTTCTGCAGACAGCCTCTGATTGCTGGCATATATCTCCTCATGTCTGAAAATACTGTAATACCACCAGGAGCAAAAGGTGAGTTTCAACCATTATTTTCATACAATTGCATTCTTTGTTGAAAATTGCTCGGAAATACTAATTATTTTTGACTTTTGGGGCATTTCCCCCCCCTTCCCCCCCAAAAGGAGTGAAAGGAGCCAAGTTTGAAATGGGGAACAGTAGATCATTTCTTGATAATTTGAAGAAGCTATTGACAACCAGTAAAATTAATCTGATACCACAACTTTCCTTTCACAGGTCACTGCATCATCTCTAAAAATGCTAAGAGTGAAAAATCGCTTTTTTTTGTATAAATTGTGGCATGGATTGGAGGCAGTAATTGCATCTCAGAACTGGGGTAATGTTGATAAACCAATTGAGCTTACTCTTACTGTTTGTGAGAAATACCCACCACCCAAAATCCATTCATCATGCTGCCTAGTCATTGATGATGGATGAACAGTGGCTGTGTTAGGCACAGACAACCCTAAATGCATGAAGCCCCAATGCAGCGAGAGGGCTGCCATTTTGAAAACCCATTGAAATCCCCTCCTCACCAACCTAACCTGCTGGGGGTAGGGGAGTGGGGGGGGCAGCCAGCATGATGCACATCTCACCACACCCAATCTGCAGCCTCTTCGTGCCCACACTGGCCATCCTTCAGCTAATAGTTGCACAGCTGAGGAGGGATATCTGTCCATTAGGTTTGGTTGCCCGGGGACCCACTGGCAACACTATTAGGGGCCCCAGAATCGTTGCCCCTGTGGTTGAATGATAAGTTGATAACATGAAAACTGGTGTGTATCAATACTTTCCATCCAATGATTGTGCAGTGATTGAATAGAAAGTGATGCCAGGGATCCTGTAGAATGGTGCTGAAAAGGATTATCAAATTAATATTATTAAAATAGGTATAATTACTGTCATGTAGTCAAATGCTTTCATCAAATTAACATGTGTTAGCTTCACATATTATATACCAACATCATTTGCTCAGTCTGAGGCCTTTTTCAGTCACCACCAACCCCAAATAAAAACAGCTGAGTGATAAAAGACTGGGAAGATCCCAGGTTTACTGAGTTAACTGATCTCAATCAGGGAGACAGCAGGTGCCCTACAATTCAGTGCCTCTGAGAAGGAGAGGGTCAAAATCAGCTAGAATTTCTTCTGCATCTGATTGCTGTCCAATACCTTTTGCCGGAAGTTTGTGTAAGTGCTCTGTGTAAGTTTCAAGCGCACTGAGACGATACACTGCGTGGAAGGTGAAATGTAAGTACAAGTTGTTATTGTTGTTGTAAGTGAGTCAGGACAGATTCTGGCTCAATCGTGATGCCCGTTGTTGTCAAATAACCCGATTATCATTTTCAAGACTTACACATGAATAATGCACACTTGGGTGAAATAAATACTGGAGGATGATTGGCACTTCTGGAACCACGACTCTTGTAGAACGTATAAAGTGATCGAATGCCTCAGGAGAAGATGAAATCTGATCCTCTCAACCCAACTTGTGATGATTTTAAGACTGCTGTTTTAGAAAGATCAGTTTGGTTGCACAGATCTGTGCAGATCTATAGAATCATAAGTATTAATATCTTCCTTGCAAGTTGAATACTTAGTGACTTCAGTGCACTGCTTTTTTAATGTTCTGGTAAGAGGTAATGTGTACTCTGGCTTTATTACACATGTGAGGAAACATTGAATAAAGTTGATCATCCAAGCGCAATAAGTACAGTATATACTGAACAGGGCATAATCTTAATGGAAGATCTAAGGTAGCTGAAAGGAAAAGNAAAAAATTTCTTCACACAATGAGTTGTTGGAATTTTAGAATACATTTATCCAGAATAGCATAGATGTATAGGATTAATTGATAGATTCTTGGGGAGTGGGGGTAGCAATAGATGTGTACAGGATTGGAAACCACAAATACAATATAAATTTACATTTATATAGCACTTTTCACATTGAGAGGACATCGCAATACTGGGGGAAATCTTTCACCTGTAATTTAAAAGTTTGTTGGCGCTGACATAAGCAATTACATGCCCGTTAGATTAATAGCAATATAATAAGATAAAATTCTATGGGGGAAGTTGGAAAAATACTTATCCAATAATAACTTAAGAAACAATTAGCATAGATTTAGAATCATGCCCAACAAACCTCTCTTTGAGTATGTTTCAGAAGCTTTTGCTGAAGTTTTAAGGGAAGCAGTCGAAATCCTGGTTAGAAAGCATGATTGAAAAGAAAGTGATTGTAAAACAATAGGAAACAGCAAGTAATCTTAAACTGTGTACGATTTTGGTCAGATTGTTGGGAATTGTTGAATGAAATCCAGTATTGGATTGTTCCTATTGTACGCAAATCTTGGGCACAAATACTAACTGTTAAAATGGTCAAATCTGTTGCCACAAAAATAAAAGGAGCAGGAGATACAAGAAGTTATAGGCAAGATTTGTGAAAGTATTTAGATCAGTGATGCTACTGCATAGAAATTATTGGGGGAACAATTCAGTATGGTTGAACAGAGGTTTCTGGAAAATTCAGTTCTCATTTGCATTAGGGACAAATCCATCATCAGCTATTACTGTCCTTCAATGTGCACACATTTTAAAACTCTGGGCATAAATGCATAGTCACATAAGTCAGATTTCTGTTCCATTAACTCGTAATCTCCTTCAAATCCATCTTGTTCCCAAGACTAGAATAGGTATGACATTTTTTGATCCGAACAAAGGAAGCTTTCTGTGATCTTGCTGCAAATTGATTCAGTAATTAATTAGCAACTAATTTAATTTAGCAATTTCTCTTCCAACAATTTATTGACCTGTTAAGGATGTTAGGTTTAAATTACAAAATATGAACCAATTAGCATTTTTTAAAAAGATTGACCCCAAAACAACAGCAAATCTGAAAACTCGATTAATATTAATATTAAAACCATTAATAAATAAGAAATAACAATTTGTGCAATGATTTTGAACCCCGCATCTGTGGGATTTAGTTTTTGCTAGCAGAGTTTTAATCTCATGTTGATGCAGGTACATGACACATTGTTCCTAATTTTTTTTAGTAACTAGCAATTGTGCCAACTTTAATTTTGTGTAACATTTTTTCCTGCTGTAAAGCTACATGGAACAGTTGGAATGGGAAATATAGGGTTTGTGTTTAAGTGTGGAAATGTGTGTGTGTATAATAAACGCTTCTGTGTCTTTTTAGATGGAAATTATTATATTCTCTCAGTTCTATGATCATCCTTAGTCACAGGGTCAATGTGCTCGAGCGACCACTTCCAAATTGTTAGTGTCGTTTAGAGTCAGGCAGGCAGCTTGGTCTCCAGTGAGTGTAGCATGGCTAAAGTTAGAAAGTACTCCTTGTCATGCTTTTGATCTTCAAATACGTTGCACCACCATGGCAGTCAATCACCTTTTAATTCAATCACCTTTTTTTTGAAGATTAATATCAATGAATTTAGATTCTCACTATATTGTCCACAGATTTCAGGATTATACTCGCGTAGATAATGCTTGGTTCTGCATTCAGTTTTACATCGATTCCTATTGACTTACATTGTTCATTTCAAAAAGAATAGTTCTGAAAATTGTGATTTCCCCCTTTCCCCATTCTAAAGATTTATTGTCACAAAAATAAGCAAAATTGAACACCACTTTACTGTTAAGAACCTTTTTCTATGGGTTGAGCATTCATGAAATAAACTCAACCTATGCCAGATTACATTTAATAGCAGTTTACAAAAATGTGAGGAATCAATTAACAGTCCTAGTCTCTTTGAATATTGCCCTGTCAATTTATAGGCCACCCATTGGAGTACATGCTCTTCCTACTTTTATTTAGTATTTCGTACCTTATACCTATTAGAGTTGAACTTCATTTGCCATTAATCAGACCACCTGCTGACCCAAGCCATGAATAGTTTTTGTCTGCCTCTTCTGAATCCACAACTTTTCCTTCACCTCTTCCTGCCCACCCCTGTAAATTTAACTACCTTATCTGTAAGTCCATTTATGTACAGGAGACTCTTATATGCTACTTTTATCAAAAGGGCTTTTATAAACCTCCAGGAAATGCATGTTTAATAGTGTGCTGTGGTGGTTTGGTATTGAGTCCCTTGAAACGGTATACAAGCACAAAAGCTTTTCACATTATGAGCTTGACAGTTTGTAAAGCTCTTGCATTAAGGACTAGTTTGGATGGAACGGAAAATATAGTGATGATGCAGTGTTTGTAAACTTAATTTTCTGTATTTTATTACAGTGGTGAATGGAGATATTGCGTGCCCTTACGAGGAGGCTGTAATCCACCCATTTGCCTTTAGAACCCATACTCATCAGCTCGGTAAGAATAATTTGTGCTCGGACCAGGATTGCATTTATCTGTCCTGAAAGGCCCACAATGCTATATCAGAATGCTTTAGCAGCAAACTTTACGAAAAGAGGCAATTAACATCAGAAAAGATTGTTTACCTCCGGGTAAAACTGAAAGAGGGGGAGGAGTATTTTAGTTCTTGCTGAGACATTTTTTACATCAGGATTTCGTGCAGCAGAAATATTGGTTTGTGATGCACATTCATATTCCATTTAAATTCAGAAACCTTCAACATTGATGGTATTAAAGGCAACCTGCATTAAAAATATATGTTACATTGTCTCTTAATACTCATTAGTAGTTGTTAGTCAATTGGTGAATCGCTTTTCTGGAGGTAATAATCCCTTCAACAAAAAAAATAATAATTTGGTCACGACTGTCTATGGGACACTGCTGTGCGCAATTGGCCTGCCATGTTTCACCCACAAAATATATAGTCAATTCACTTTACAGTATATTCTGTGAAGCGCTTTGAGACGTCTAGAAGACATGATAAGGCTCTATATCAAATGCAAGGATTATTATTATAATAGATAACATCTCTGTGCTGTTGTAACTTATCTCAATCTCTTGAAGACAGAAAGAGCATAAACATGTTAATATTGGATTCCAGGTTTACAGCACATGCTAACTGGGTTCTACAAATAGTATTATATTTTAATCAATATAACGTATTTTCGCCTTGTGGTACAATTATTGTTTTCATCTCATCTGATTGCACATGTTAACTAGCCGTGTAATTTGTAACTCTGTGGCCTTTAGCCCGTTTCAGTAATGTGATTTGAAGTATTGTAATGTATGCTGAATTATTGTTTTTAAAAGGGTGTGTTTATTGGACTGTGCGAGTAATACTACATTTGATCTTCATTTCTGTAATTTTAGGTCAGGTGGTTAGTGGATACAGAATCAGGGATGGACAATGGACGCAAATTGGGAGGCAGAGTCCACAGCTGCCACAGGTAGGTTTGTTCCTGAATTAAAATAATCTACAAAGATTGTCCATTAAATTTACCTACTTCAATTATTTCTGTAACTCCTTCACTGAAAATTGCCATCACAACGTTTTCCTTGTGCATTTGTTCTTTTCAGGCTTTCTATCCTGTGGAGAAGCCAATGGATATTAAATATGGTGATACTATTGCAGCGCGATGTGTTTTTACAGGCAAGGGGAGGACAACAGTAACACAGATAGGGTAAGTCTCAGACCGAAGCTATTTTCTTGACTGTAATAATGATATTTCTTTACAAAATGTGAGTATTATTTTGGAGATGTGCTGCTGTTTACGAACAATAGTATACAGTAACCCTCCAGCTTACTAGACTCTGCTATCCGGAAGTCAAACTCACACTCAACTCCTAAACCAATTAGCTTTGAAACATTTTGCACATGAGTTTGTTATTTTCAGGCTTTCTATCCCTTGCAGAAGCCAATGGATACTAAATATGTCTGGTAAATAAGGGTATCTGGAATTCGAGCCTATCTGGATCGGGCCCAAAACCAGGGACATTTTTAAAACATTTCCTCAGACCAAAGATTTCTGTGAGCCAGTGTGTAGACTCCCCCTGGTCCAACTGTTAGTGCGCTCCAACTGTGTTAGTGCACTCCAACTGTGTTAGTGCGCTCCAACTGTGTTAGTGCGCTCCAACTGTGTTAGTGCGCTCCAACTGTGTTAGTGCGCTCCAACTGTGTTAGTGCGCTCCAACTGTGTTAGTGCGCTCCAACTGTGTTAGTGCGCTCCAACTGTGTTAGTGCGCTCCAACTCTGTTAGTGCGCTCCAACTCTGTTAGTGCGCTCCAACTCTGTTAATGCGCTCCAACTGTGTTAGTGCGCTCCAACTCTGTTAGTGCGCTCCAACTCTGTTAGTGCGCTCCAACTCTGTTAGTGCGCTCCAACTCTGTTAGTGCGCTCCAACTCTGTTAGTGCGCTCCAACGTGCTGTGCAGCCCACATGATCCCACAGCTTCTCACCTCACTGTCCTTTGACTCCACAGTCCTGACTCCATCCAATTGTACAGATGCACTGTCACTCCACTTTACAATATATTCTGTGAAGAGCTTTGAGACGTCTCAACCACATGATAAAGCGCTATATGAAATGCAAGGATTATTATTACTATTATTATAGAGTGCACTATATATTTATAGAGTCACCAATTCCAAATTGACTGTGTTTTGATTCCACCACTGTAGGGCTCCCGAATAGAGCAGTGTTATCTGTCTTCAGTCTGTACTTATTTATGAGTTTAAATCTAATCCCTTGGAGTGTGGTCAGAATTTACTGCCTGAAAACACAGAGCAATCTTTCTTTCTCCAAAATGCTGCACCAGGTTCCACACATGGAGATGAATAACACATAGCACAACACGCACAAGCCTATGCTAATGCTGCTATTTCAATAAAACCCTTAGCATTTAGTTGTGTGTCTGGTTAATAACTGAGGAGTGCTCTATTTTCAAGCTTTTGATTTTATGGAGCACATTGATTGAAATGGATGATAACACACAGTTACTCTCAGTGCATGCAAAATTGATTTCCTGTTACTGAAAAGGTGTGATCTATACACGTTAGGACATTGATAGAGTTATTTAATTGCAACAAAGTAAGTTGAATATAATCTATATACAAAACATGCAAATAATAAGTTTTAGTTTTACAATTAGAAAATCACTTGACTGAATTTAAAACTTTTTGAAGTCCGTCAAATTGATGCTGTATTTAGCAAGTTACATAATAAAAACAAAACAAATTATGAAAAATGAAAAGGTCATTCAGTGCATTAGACTCTATCCTACCAGAGAGAAAACAAAATTGATCTTATTGTAGATTTTACCGACCCACTCTTTCTCCTGAAATATGTTCCTTGGATCTCCTCTCTGATACTAAAGCTGATGAAGCAAAGGTTTTCAGATTATCCCTACATCTCTTCTATTAAAACCTAGAAACTCCTGATTTCCATTCTATTCTGAATAACCAATTTTTTGGGGATTTTTATTGAAAAAGTTGAAGTTACATTAGAATGCAATCGAATACATTACATTAGAATAAACAGCACAGAAACAGGCTATTCGGCCCAACTGGTTTATGCCGGTGTTTATGCTCCACATGAGCCTCCTCCTGCCCTTCCTCAACTAAGCCTTCAAGCATAACCTTCTATTCCTTTCTCCCTTATGTATCTATCTAGCTTTCCCTTAAATACATCTATGCATTTGCCTCAACAAGTTGTCTTGTTCCTAGTCTCCAATCTAAATCTCTTCTTCCTCTACCACGAAAAAAACAGAGGATTACATCAAAAGCAACAACTTGCAATCTTATAACATCTGCCACGTAAAAGAAAGTCTAAAAGCACGCATGCACTAGTGATGGCTGTCTGATGATGAATTTATTTTTGTCTGAAAGCAACCACTGTAAGATGGGTGATCCTTGCTGCATGATTTTTTTCTGTACATTTTACTTTTGTCAGATTATTGGTATCAATTGCAGATTTTTGTTTCTGCTCTTAAAAAATTGCATAGTCCAAATTTTGCGGCTTCAGTCAAAATGTTTATAACATTCTTTAAAGCATGTTTACCAAGAATTTAATTCCATAGAAAATTCAATAGAAAAACAAAATTCATTTTTTGCAGGGTAATCAAAAAAGCTCAAGTTAGTCATGCAGAATGTTTCATGCCTTTGGTTTTAGAATTATTTAGTATTCATGTAATAGGTGCCAAGACTCTTTGGATTGAATAAGTGGGATTTGAATGAATGTAGAAGTGTCATCCAAATATTAATATTCACATGGGATGTACAGGCAGAATCATCCACAAGTGAGATAATTAATTATATTCCTAGTGACACCATCATCATGAGCAACATCTGTAACAGTCGTTTTGCATTGACGATCATGAAATGACTAATATTTGGAGGTTTTTTATAGCAAATGAGGTTGATTTCTTCCACAAAACTAATTTCACACTATTGGTTTATAGTAGTTATGGTCACTGATCAATCATGTGACGAGTCACAATTCCTGTGTACAATAACATTTTCTTTGTTTGAGACTTTGTTTGTCAAAAGACTACAAAATGAAAAGAATTCTTTTGTCAAGAAAACTCCCCCAGGTCTGCATTGGAGTGTCGCCTTAGATAATGTGAGTTCAAAGTCCCAACATGGGACTTGAACCCACAATCTTCTGACTCAGAGGAAAGTGTGCTACCAACGGAGCCAAGTTGGCACCTGGTTATGAGAGTTGTTGAAATACCCTTGTCCACCTGACTATTTAATAATGTTCATGGTGTCCTTGATGGTTGTATGAGTAGGTATCACAGGATGTGTCTCATTACTTTCTTTCCAGTGTTTAGATGCATTTCAGTTTGGCATGCAAAGGCCTGGTTCCTTGGCATGAATAATCTGGCTTTCTCTATGCCTGTGCATTGGTTAAAGATATGCATTGTGTCATTATTATTGCCATGGTGAATAAATTAATGCAGTGTGACACCAGACTGAAAGACACCTTTGATGTATTTACCAAGAGATAAACAATCTTCCTCCGCAGCTTTAATGGGTACTTGCTACAGTGCCACAGTTGCCAATTAAAATTGGGATACATTGAAGAACCATAAATTAAGTGAAGCTTACTCCCAAAAGGTAGGAGCTCTCCTGTACATGCCAGTGCTTGGCAGATGCAAGTAAAAGAATCCCCTGAACACATCTGTTAAATAGTAAAAAAAAATCTAAATCCATGAGATGAAAACATTAATTAAATACAACAGCTAAATTGTTCTTGTGTACTGATGCCTAGAATCCTGCTGTGAATTTCTTCCTCTCCACCATCTGTCTTTCACGGCTTCTGCTGTAATTTTCTTTAACACGCCAATTTTTTTTATATACTCCTTTTAATAATTGATGATTTGAATCTGCTGATAGTAAATACCTTCTAGCTGTTGTTTGAGCAATGTATGTTTTAGCAAAATGCCCCTGAGCGATAATTATTGCACACTTTTTATGCAGACTGTTTTGTTTCTGGTTGAATAAATGCTGGAGAATTTAATTTATTCCAGTTTCTAAGTAGCCATGTTCAAGATTGTACTCTGGTATCTGCTTCATTAGTATGGTTGCTTTATGGCAATATATACCACTCAATGCTTGGGAGACTGACAAAGGGCATATTCTAGCCAAAAGTTACTTCACCGTACATGTTCTCAATTTCAGCGGTTTGTTAGTTTTTTTTACTTAACAGATGTTTTTTTCGATGGATTTGTTCCACACAAATTGTTCAAGTATTCTCCTACCCCTGGGGACAAGTTTCACTTAAATTCTGCCTTTCCACATATGCTTGAGAAATTCAAGTTGTTTGCTAGATCAAAAGTAATTAAGGTACCATCAGAAAAACATCATCCGTAGACTTGTCCTGTTTTTCTTTGGGGTGAGGGAAGGGACTGAAGAAACAACTTTAAATACAATTAAATGTGCCAATAAACTTATTCTGTGTGATTTGTTCTCATTTGGAAGCTGTTTTGTTTCATTGATTATAGAAAGTACACAGTCTCATAAATGTGTAGAACAGTTTCATGATCACTTTGCAAGAATTTGTGGAATAAGAAAAAATTACTCAGCTCAAGTTTTCTTTGATATACCAAGCAAAACTTACTCTATCACAGACTCAATCTCACCCACACTTTCTCTGCTCAGCTCAATAATTTTACTGCTGTTTCTATTAGGGAGCTGTTCCCGGTGTCCTGGCCAACAATCTTCCATATAAAATTGGCCATTCACTTTGCTCTTTGTGTGCAAATTGGCTACCATATTCGCCTATAACTATATAGTAACTACACTTTACAGTAAAATCCTGTAAGGGGCTTTGAGATGTTTCAATGGCATAAATAGGTGCTATACAAAATATAAGGACTATTAATTGTACTATATATATTTGTATGAACTATTGTTTTGATTTATATGCTTAGCATGAGTCTTTTTTGTGCTTCAGTCCTTGTGTTTACAAAAAGTTTTTTTAAAATAATAAAATGTAAATGTTGGATAATTAGAATTAACGATGAGGATTTGCGGCATTTCTATGAATGGAAATCAAAATGGTTTGTAAGAATACAGGAACATGCAGGGAAGGAAAAGAACATTGTGATCCATCAGGTGAAAGTGAAAACTAATACAGCAAACCTTTTAAACCTCTGAATTAATTTATTTACCAAATTCCTTTCTTCTTCTTCATGAATTGGCTCATGCATATGTCAACTATCTCCCTGGGTAACCAATTCCACATATTCTCCATTCTGTAAAATTAGTCTAGCTCAGTGGTTAGAGCACTCGTCTCTCAAGCAAGAAACCTGGGTTCGATTCCCAGCAAGGCAAAATCTTGGGCAAGTTTCCTTACTCCACACACCTAATTATAATCTCTCAAGAAAAAAACAATCATAAATTGTTCACTTCAATCTACGACTGTTTGTGGGACACTGCTGTGCGCAATTTGGCTGCCGCATTTCGCCCACAAACATAGAGTCAAATCACTTTACAGTATGTTCTGTGAAGCGCTTTGAGACGTCTAGAAGACGTGAAAAGCGCTATATTAAATGCAAGGATTATTATTATTATAATATATACATTCCTAGTTTATGTAACTCCTCCTCAGATAATTTAATTCAACAAATTGAATTAATCCAGCTAGTCCAACTAATTAAAAACTCTGTCACCTGCATCCACCAAATTCTGTACCCCCATCATCCCAGACCTTGCTAGGGTCCACTGGCTCCCTGTCGTAGAACAGATCGATTTTATCTCTCAAACCTGATCATACCCCACTCCTCTATCTAACCACTTTGCTCAGTTCGGCTCCAGTCTTCTGTACCTCCCTTGACGCCTACGCTCCACCATCTTTGGCTGTTCTATGAATCACTATGCCTCAACCATTTGGAACTCCCTGTTTCAATTCCTTTGCTTTGCCACCTTTTTGCCTGACTACAGATCAAACCTGAAGATTTTCTTCTTCAACTGCGCCTATGGTTACCTCACCTTCTTTCCCAGCTCTGCGTCGACCTACATCATTGTTTAGCGCTCCAAGATGCAACCTCGAGTGAAGGGTGCTATATAAATGCATGCCTTGTTGTTATAAATTGCAGCTATCAATTTAGTTGTCCATTGCTATATTTTCACAAAGCAAATATGCCTACTGAAAATTAGCCAGAAAGAAAATTAATTATATCCTCAAAATGTACATTTATTCTTTTGATTTTATTTATGGAGAATTTCTAGTGAAATCAGCACAAGGGTTTCAGTACCTTTCGGGATTATATCATTTGCATAGTATTTAATGTAAACTTTCTTCTTAATATAATTTGTTAGGCTCAGTATGCTAGATAATTTATTACATTTTACCTGAAATGGTCTTGTTTAGGCTTATTGTGAGTTGGGCTTTTTCGCTATTACTTAATTATAATAATCCTTACATTTTTTATAATGTTTTTCACATTTTTGAAGTGCTCACAAGATTTACTGTACTTTGAAGTCGAATGTAACAGCTAATTTGCTCTCATCAGTATCCCACAGCAATCATCGAGATAAGTTTATCTGGATGATTGTATGGACACCAGGAGAAATCTCTGAGGCAAGAGTGCTACCAATCGAGTCAGGCACCTGAGGGCACACATTATTTAGCAGCAACTAATGAAAAAAAATTCACCAACTAATTAAAGGGGGTGGGAGAGGTGACCATGAGCATGGTCGAAAAGGAACGTTTTCAGGTGGGACTTGAAAAAGGGGAGAGAGGGTAAGGCAGAAGGATTAAGGGAGAGTGTTCCAGCATTTCTGGGCGTAGTGGCTGAAAGTGCGACCTCCATTGGTGGTCCGGAAGGTGCAAGGGACAAGCTGGAGGCCGGTGCCAGTTGAGCAGAAACACTGGCTGGTGGAGTGAGGAGGTCAGAGAGGTAGGGAGGTGCCAGGGAGCGAAAACAAGTGTGAGGATCTTGTAGTCGATCTGTTTGATGATGGGGGAGCCAGTGGAGACTGGCCCAAACTGCTGTGATGTGGGTACGGAGTTTGGTGTATGCAGGTGGCAGAGTTCTGAATGAGCTGGATTTTTTGAGTAGGTAAGCTGGGGAAACCGGCGAGGTATGTGTTTGAGTAAAAAAGGCAGGAGGTGACAAACATGTACGAGGGTTTCAGCTGCATTTGGGTTAAGGTACAGTTGGAGGAGGGCAATGTGGCAGAGGTGGAGGAAGGCGATCCTGGACAGGGACCAGATGGGGGTCGAACTGGACATCCAGATTGCGCACTGGTTCAGTGAGTCTAAGGGAGAGCCCAGGAGGGTTGAGGAGTTTAGATCTGCAGGAGTGAAGTCGTTGAAGAGAGCCAAGAAATATGACTTCCGTCTTGTCCACATTCAGCTGCAGGAAGTTTGCTACTGTTAAGCATTCCAAGATGCTACCCAAAGTGAAGCATGCTATATGAATGTAAGTTGTTGTTGCTTTTCCACAATAGCATATCTGAAAGAGGGAACTCTGATGATCTGTTTTTTTTCAGATTATTGACCACAAAATACACAGTCACTACACTTTACAGTATATACTGTGAAGCGCATTGAGACATCTCGAAGACGTGATCAGGCGTTATATCAAATGCAAGGATTATTATTATTATACATCATATGTGACAAACATTCTTCTTTTGTCCTGCAACATATCTCTGGTAAAGGGAATGAGAAAACACCTGTCCTTGATCTCATGTGAAGTATTTGTCATTTAGCACAAATGTCATAAAATAGCTTATTGAATAGTAACTCTTACTTTTGTCTTTTTTTTTACAGAGGAACATCTCAAGATGAAATGTGCAACTTGTATATTATGTATTACATGGACGCTCAGTATGCCAAGCCTTACATGTTTTGCACAAAGGATGGGAGTCCAAAATTATTTAAACATATTCCACCAGAAGCAAACATCCCGATTCCTGTCAGCCCTGATATGGCCATGCATGGACATCACCCAGGTGATTATAGCAAATGCATTGGTACCGTTCTGTTACAAACTGCTACATATGCATTTTATAGCACAGTCCACTTAATACATTGACGCTATCACAGTAATTTAAAGACCTCTTTGAATAGCAGTGCCATCCTGGATGAGTTCTTACTTTCAAGACCAAGGCTCTCCTGCTTTTCTCTTGTCAGCATCTTCTCACCTCAGGCACTGACCACATCAATTTACATGGATGTTTCCTCCACCTAATGGAGCTGGTTCAGGGTTTGTTCAACGCCCCAACTGTCTTTCAAACCCTGCATCCAGACTTTCATTCATTCAGCTTTCCCTCATTTCCACAACATCACCTTCCTTCACTACTATCTCTGCACCCCCCCGGGTTGTGCCAAGACCTTCATTCAAGCTTTAATCATATATGAGCTCAATTATGCGATCGCTCTCCAGGCCAGATACCCAGCTCCTCCCTACAAAAGATCAAGTTTGAGACACGACTTCACTTTCCAATCCCTCCACAGGGTTTTGCACCACTGTAACTCTGTACCTCCCATGACCCTCCTGCCCTGGTTACCCTTCCGTTCTTAACACTGGCAGGCTTTGTGTTCCCCGCCAGATTCACCCATCTTGGGTGTGCTAGCTTTCGGCCATTTTGCCCTGCTCTGTGGAACTCCATCCTGGAGACCCTCTGACGTGCCTTTGCCTCTCTCTGTCCCTGCCTTCAAATCCTGCCTTCAGGCCTTTTGCTTTTGATTGTGCTTTCGGTTACCTCTCTCTTCCTCCTTCCCCCTTCCCCCACCACTCGGGCTTCCAGTCAGCTGTGTGAAACACTTTGAGATGCTCTCCCAAGATAAATGTCTTATATCAATGTAAATTGATGTTCTAGGTAAAGAAGCAGCAGATAAAAGTGTTGCACTCCAGCAACCAAAACGTGAGGAGGAGTGGTCCTTGATCAAGGTATGTACAATTCACATAATTTGGAAATGTTATACTTTAAAAGGTAATTTCTGTTCTCTGACCTAGAATTCATAACAGTAGACTATTGGTATTTTATTAAAAAAGGATTTTATGCTTATAAAGTGTATTGTGATAAAATATATTTTTTTCTGATACCTAAATATAACATGTTATTAATTTCATTCCACTCCCGGTGTAACACAACAAGTCATTCATATTCACTTGATGCCGTCATCCATTCCATGAAAGGAGTGAATGCATTCGCACAAGTGCTGTTGTTTGCAATAAATAATTCATGAACGATCAATCAATTACTGGTCTGAAGCTGTGCAGGTAAAACTCATTACTTACAAAGTGACCTCATTAGAATTTTTCATTCCCTATACAGTTATTTAATCATCCTGCAATTTATCTTCCTTGTGCTGGGGATGAGCCACATATAGATTTGAATAAAGAGCAAAATCCTATCAGTTCTGTTTATGCAACAACCTTTGGTCTGTATGTTTGTACGGATAATGCATACTTAAAAGTATGGTGATGCCATAATAGGTAAGGAAAGTATGCGAATAGAACAATACGAAAAGATGATCGGTAGCAAAATGGCAAAAACAAACATTTTTGAACGTTTTTTCTCTCAGATTAAAAAAAGACATTTTAATAATTTTCACCCACACATTTGCAAAGTATATATTCTGTTCTCTTAGGGGGTGCTTTTATGTTGCAGTTTCCCCCATTTTATGGCATTTTCCTACCTGTGGCAAGATTCTGTAATGAAAATGATCCTAAATCCAGGATATACTGTAAAGTGAATTGACTGACTGTATATTGTGTGGGCGAAACGTGACAGCCAATTGCCCACAGCAGTGTCCCATAAACAGTCATGGATTAAGTGCCCACATTTAACAAAAAATGTTTTAATGTATTTATTTTGAAGGGATTAATTATTACCACTGGAAAAACGATCCGGCAATCGATAACAACCGGGTTCCTACTTACTGCTAGGTGAACAGAGATGTGTAGATTAAGGAAACTTGCCCAACGTTTCGCCCTCCCTGGGAATCAAACCCGGGTCCTCTCACTTCCGTGGAGAGTGCTCTAACCGCAAAGGTACAGGACTCCATGAGATACATAACCTGAATATTTCCAGAACTCAACGACAGCAACATCTTGCACTAGCATCTTTCACAGCAAAGAAAGGTGCTTTACAAATTTGGTTGGCTTTACAGTTTGTTTGACTTCACGTGAGAACCTGGATTAAGCAGAGTGTCGTTGAGTAAGGCTGGTACACAAGATTGGAATTGAACCTCCAGAGCATCAAGGTTAATTCACAAGCTGTGCTGTCCTAGTCCTTCTACCATGCGGAAGGCAGAAATCCATCAAGTAGCTGATGAGGAAACTACGAGGTTTGGGACGACAGCTTCTGAACGGCATTACCTGAAGTTTGGGTTAATAAACACACACGTATTCTATCCAGGGTTTGGTGTCTACCTTGATTGGTTAGCAGAGATGTAAGCAGCTCCTGCCTAATCTCTGCACTTCGAGCTGGTGGAGCCATCATTCAGTGGGATGTGTGTCTGAGCTGTGGGCAGGAGGATGGTGGCATTGATCTGAAGTATGTCATGCTGAGTTGTGCTGCTTACTTAGAAGTTCACAGTGAGTTCCTGGTACCTGAAACCTGTGCTAATAACAGACCATACAGTGGCTCAATGGCAAGGTTTGCAGTTTTATCTGGTTAAACTCCAGCAGTACTCTCAAAGCACTCTGAGATGCCTAAACCTTGACCTTTATGCATTTCAATCCAAGACACATAGAAATTTCCATGCATAGGTGACATGTATTTGTGGACCTCAGTCTGATTTGGATAATCTTTAGCATGGCAATGGGTTTCCGCATGTATCAGACATCCGGCTGACCAAACATATTAAGGTTGGGAGTAAACCATTGAAATACCACCTTGTTTTAAACAAAATAGAATAATCTTGAAAAGAGAATAGAATTCTTGACATTTTTGGAGGAGGAATAATCTTTATCAGTAGATTCTTCAGCATGTCCAGGCTCAACTGTGTGATGCCCCTCCTCCCCAGCTCCTCCCTATAACAAAACTGCAGACCATCTGGAACTCTGCAGCCCACATCTTCTCCTGCATCAGATCTTATCTTCCATCTTCATTTGGCTCCATTGGCTCCACAACCGCAGAGGATCAAATTCAAGAGGCTTGTCCTCACTTTCAAATCCCTCCACAGCCTGGCCCGATACTTCATGTCTCCAGCCCAATTTGTCCCTCAATCGGTGGGCAAGCTTTCATCCATCCATCTTCTGCCTTCCCGTCCCTCCTCGCCTTCAAAACCCTCCTTAAGTGGCATCTTTTCAACCATGCTTTCAGCCACCTTTGGCCACTTCCTCCCCAATTCGTCTTGGTAGAGAATAGCTTTGCCCATAAAATATGCAGTCAATTCACTTTACCGTATATTCTGTGAAGTGCTTTGAGACGTTTTGAAGAGGTGATAAGGCGCTATATCAAATCCAAGGATTATTGGTATTAGATTCTGATATGACAGATGAAGAGTCAAGAAGTGAATTATTGCACTTAGTTGAAATAATACAATTGCTGAAGAACCCAACAACAAAAAATACAACAACAAAATTACATTGGTAAAGCGCCTTTCATGTTGGGAGGACATCTAAAAGTTAATTGGTATTATATGTTTCACTTATTTAGCATCCTGCATCAGAGTTAGCAATTCCTATCAGATATTTACATCAATCATTTTTGTATAAAATATTTACAATTTTTAAAAAAAAAAATGTTTTAAGGCAAGTTATTTAAGTGCAAGTTATTTGCCAATTTCTGGATCCTCTGTATTACTGGATAAATATAGACCCAGGTGCAATTTTTCTCCACAAATGTGTAATTGCACTCTGATTGCAGATCTGATATTTGTGTGCATGTTAAGGTTCAGAAGAAAGGTCTAAAAAGAACATAAAAATCACGAGCATGAAAAATAATTAAACCTGTCAGCAATTTCTATATACCGTGTTATGGAAAGCCATTAAAATTTGTACCACTGAACCATTCCACCGTTTGACCATTTTAAAAGTGGATTAATAATAATTCTAGTTCCTTGCATCTTTTTGGTTAATGATAATTATAATTACGGTGACAAAAAGCAGCAGTAAAATTTCCTCTGGATTAATTAGTTTGATGATTTTGCTTCTGTTTAATTCTCTCAGACTTTAACCAACAAGCTTAGCTTGTTTAGCACATCAAAAAAAATGGTGGTATTTTAACTTAGATCCTGCATGAAAGAGACTTTTAAGTATCACAAAGTTAAGATTAAATGAAGAAAAAAGTTACATAAAAGTGAATTTTAAAATGAGAAGAAACCTAAGAGGAATAGGAACTTACACACCAGTTAATAGAAAAATAGAATCCAGAATTTTTTTTTGAAAGGGCTAATGATAGACAAGGAAAAACCCATTCAAGTATTACTAAAGGTTATGAGTCATTTTTCATTCATTGGCAAATTTAACTTTAGTTCACATTTTGATATAGTTAGTTTAACTTTGCTTAACTGCTGATTACTAGTAATGCAAAAAAACATATTTTTCCTTTTATGATCTTATACACTATTTTGAAACAATACAAGTGTCACAGGCTTATTTATACTGTATATGCAAATACAGGAAACTCCAATTAGTGTGGTTGTTTAGCTCCAATATCTCAGCTCACGAAGTAAAATAGAGCTTGCAAAAATGTCTGACTTCCGGATTGTTCAGTTGATGTTAATGTCATCCTGTGCGCTGTACATGTGCAAGAAGCATCGCTGCCATAATTCCTTTGTGAAGTGATATGAATAGTCCTTTCTACACATCGCATAGGAAGTGGTGATGGTGACATGACGATCAGGAAATCTACCTTTTTTTAGTGCGGGAGCAGATCGGTTTGTGCCAGAACCACCTCAAAAGTAACTGTGGGTTCACATGTATGTGTGTGCATGTGCGTGTGTGTGACAATATTGAAAAACACATTCTCTAGCTACAGATACAGTTAGTGGCCACAAATTGCCACAGTGACCATTGTTCATGTTGGGCCCATCAGTCAGTGACGGCAGACATTGGAGCAACACAGTCGGGCCAAACCTGGTCCTCGATAAAGACCACACATTTACATCTTCTCCTTATACCAAGAACACTTAGGCCAGTTATATTGCTTCTAGTTTGTGCAGCGTTATCTGTATAAGATTGAGTTCTGGGTCGGGTCTGCCCTGCAGACTGCACATGCTTACTTCACCCAGGAGTAAGCTGCACTTTTGTGCAGCTAATTGATTTTAATTATTAAAAAGGCTATAGGGGGTGGGATGGCACATAGATTTTTATGTTATTCTTATTTTAACAAACTGTTTGAATTATTGCCGACAAGGAGGAAGTTTCCGTAGTCAAGCCTTGAGGTGATGAATGCGTGTATGAGGGTATCGGCGGCCTGAGGGGTGAGGCAGTGGTGGAGTCAGGCAGTGTTGTGGAGGTGGGGGAAGGCAGAGCGGGTCATGGCACGGATACGGGGGAGAAAGGATAGTTGAGGATCGAACAAGACACCCAGGTTCCTGACTGGCTTGGTGCGGTGGAGTGTGCATCCGTGCCTGAGGTGCAGAGGTGCTGGCGCAAGCCAATCAGGAAGGCCTCGGTCTTGCTGACATTCAGCTGTAAAAGTTGTCTCCCATCCAGAACTTGTCTGACAGACAGTCTGTCAGGACATCAGTTGTTCTGGAATCGAGGTTGAGATAGAGAGATAGAGTTGCATGTCATCCGCATACATGTGGAAGTTGAGCTCATGTCTGCGGATAAGGTCACCAATGGGGAGCATGTAGAGGTTGAAGAGGAGGGGACTGAGGACAGAACCCTGAGGAACACCGCACAAGACTGTGCGGGGGCTGGAAGAGAAACTATTGGCGGAGACAAATTGGAGACGGTGTGAGAGATAAGACCTTGAAGGGAGAGTTGGT